TAATAAATAACAGAAAAGTAAATAATAATAAGGATTCAACAGTGTTTGTGGTTGTATTATTTGACGCATAAATTATGATATTGTGTTGTGACTTAAATATATCCATGTGTGTGTGTGTGTGTGTGTGTGTGTGTGTGTGTGTGTGTGTGCGTGTTCCTGTGTGTGTGTGTGTGGGTCTGTGTGTGCATGTGTGTGTCTGTGTGTGCGTGCGTGTGCGTGTGTGTGTGTGTGTGGAGTCTGACGCAGTGTTGGAAAGTTGTGTGGTTGTGCCATACAGGTGTAAAGAAGCAGATAAAAAGAGGAAAGGAAAATACAGAAACAGGTTAAAAAAGAAGAAAGAACTAAAAAGAAAAGGTGATGGGGTGTGAGGTGATGATGAACAGGTGAACTCATCATCTAAAACACGGATCTAGCAGCTGTTTATTACTGACGTGCTCAAACCCAGTGAATCTGATAAGAAAAATAAAGGTCTGACCTGATGTTGGGCTAATACAGCCAGTCTGTCACTCCTCGCTCCTTGTAAAGTTTATTATCCACATAAAGCTTATCCACTGAGATGACAGCTCTCTTCCCATCTTGGATAAACTTTTTACGCAGCGGAAAGAGAACTCTGCGCCGATCCAGGATTTCCTTAGGAAACTGGTCATTAACGCTGAAGTCTTTGCCTTTGAGCTCTCTTCCGTGACTTTTAACCAGATCCTTCTGCTTAAAATGTTCAAATTTAGCCACGATGGGACGAGGTCGTCTGCTGTCCCCTCTTTTAGCTCCAAGGCGATGTACTCGGTCGAAGGTGATGTTTTTTACCGTTTCTTCGGGTATCTTCATTTGGGTCTGGAGAAAGTGTTTAACAGTGCGTTCGCAGTCCTCGGCCCCTCCCACCTCCTCCGACAGACCTGCAAACACCAAATTATCCCTCATGCTACGGGCCTGAAGGTCCAAAACCGTCTCCTTCAGAGTTTTGTTGTCCTGGGTGATCCGCGTCATTCCCTCCTCCAGGGAAGAAACGGACTCCCGCAGAGACGCGTTCTCAGCAGCGAGCCGCTCCACCTGCTCCTGGCTGAATTCCAGGGACTGGCGGAGGTTCTGAAACTCCTGGTGCAGAACCTCAAGCAGATGAAGACGCCCCTCAAATCCCAGAAGCCGTTTATCTATGGATTCTAATAATTCCAATATGTCCTTCCGGGGAGATGAGGCCTCAGGCGAGTCCTGAGGGCGGCTCCGCTTCGTCCCAGGTGTTTCAGGTTCACCTGCTGATTTCTTCGGACCCATAACAAATAACTCGAAAACTCCGTCAATAAAGTTCTGTAAACTTTCTAAATTTTCTTCACTTACCTCCAGATTGAGCGAGTTATACTTACCAGATTATTTTTTTGCGTTGTCAGTTTTTAAATTAGGCAAAAATGCATCTGAATTGTTTGTGAATGTTTGCTAACGAGCTGCCATCAGCTTCAAACGCTGCTGTGTCCGGTAATCGGCCGTCAGCGCATGCGCATCTCTCCTCTCTCTGCAAACTGTGGGCTGTGGGTGCAAGTAGGGTGGTGCAGTGGCATCAGCTGGCATAGGCCAGAAAATGCCCGCACTGCCCGCTCACCACAGCAATAGAATACACCTCATTAACACACAACACTATGTTGGAGCAGGTGGAGGGAGACCAGGGGGTCTTAGCACACCTCTGTTGTTGCTTGGCTGCCTGGGGCTGGAGACTAGGAGGGAGATCTGGCCGTCTGGTTGGGGTCTGGGGTGGTGGGTTGCTGTGCTCGGCGGTGGGCGGGGGAGCCTGCTCATCAGCACCCCAGCAGAAAGGGTCAAACTCTGGTAACCGGTGGTGGTTGTACCCCATGTGCAGCATTACCGGGACCAGAGTGAATAGGGTGTGTATGGGGAGCATGAATGGGTGTCCGGCGTGTATTTTTGTAAGTCTTTGGTTGTATGTGCATGTGTGAGCATGAGGGAGGGAGTGTGTGACTGTGTTTGTGTATGACTGTATATGTCAGGTGGGGCCTTTGACTCCTCCCTTCTCCTGGGACCTCCTTTGATGATATAGATCTTCGTCTCCCCTCCCCCCTGTCACACCTGGTGGGGGTGTGATGCCTTGGTCTGCCTGAGTGTTCGTGGCTCCTGGGTCAGGGAGTTTAAGATTTTTGGCATCTGCCTGATCAATCCCGGTGGCGGCCTGGGGGGGTCTGGGTCCCTGGGCTCTGCTGGGTCCCCGGCGGGGGTGGTCGCCCCTGGGTCCCGGGTCGCTGGGTCCCGGACTCGGCCGGCTAGGGGGTGGGAGGCTGCGGGCAGGCCTGAGGACTTGCCGCTGATATCTCCCGGGGCTCTGCCGGCTGCTGGTTGTGGCCCCCCGGGGCGATCCTCTGTGCCTCTCGAGGGGGGCGGGGGCCTTTCTGGTTGCGGGCTCCTTGGGGTTCCTGTGTTCTGGGGCAGCGCCTGGATCTCTGGGACTTGGAGCTCCCCCCCGTCTCCTACGCGTCTTTGGGGGGCAGATCTGTGGTCCCTCACACTCTCTATTGGACGCTCCTATAGATAAACCTTACATAAACAAGCGCGTGTACACACACAGGTGCTCACATGGTGCTCTCATAAGTATGGGCTTGGGCACGTTCAACACATGTCTTAAGACTATGGTGGGCACTCAATGCACTGTGGTATATTATCGTGTGACTGTTTAGTTAAACAATGATTGATTATATATTTCTTCATCAAGTTGACGCAGTGATAGCTTGATTTTGTTATATTGGTGTTGTGTCCCATTTTTTTGTTATGTTTTGCTTTTTTCTCGTCTCATTTTGCAGGTCTAGAAGCAGACTCTTGTTCATTATTGTTTATTTTTGTTGAATCCCCCCCCCACCTAACCCCCTCTCTCCCCACCTTTTCTCTTTTCCTTTCTCTTTCACCTCTGTCTCTGTGTCTGGTCGAAATTACAAAGCATTCAAAAACAATAACAATAAAGTTTTAAATATCAGGTGCGACATTAAAAGCAGACTCTTTGATGCTCCACCTGAGACATTAAAAGCAGATGCTCTGATGCTCCACCTGAGAGTAAAACTGTAAGGCTTGTTACCAGCATTCAGACATCAATTCTGCTAAAAAAAAAAAAAAAAAAAAAAAAAAAAAAAAAAAAAAAAAAAGTTGAGTTCTTAAAAGACTGAAAACTAGGGATGATCAATTTATCGATATACCATTTAGTCGGCCTACATTAAAATTTAGTCAGCATTAAAATTTTATATATCAGTATTGGTTTTCAGTTTTTATTGACAGCTTTTACATACCATACACAAAAGTGCTGGTCATCAAATTAGAATATTATGACAAAGTTGATTTATTTCAATAACTCCATTCAAAAGTGAAACTTGTATATTAGATTCATTCATTGCATACAGACTGATAAATTTCAAATGTTTATTTATTTTACTTTTGCTGAGTATAAGCCACGTGTCTTGAGTCTTTCTTTAGGTCTTTATATTGGTATCAGAATTTGAGTCAGACAATATCAATATATCAGTAAAAAAAACAATATCTGGCATCCCTAATAAACAGGGAGAGATTAGTTGAATGAGAAATGCTACTTTACAAGTACCAAAATGTGTAAAATCTAACAAAAAGACAAGTTTTCTCTCCTCACTTGTTTACTTTCTCAGATTTTTGCTGCACAAGTAAGAAATGGTAATGAGTGCATTGTTCTTTCCACCCAATAACAATTTAATCAATGTTGTGATAGAGAGTATGCATAGATTCTGAGGTAATCATATTCCATAAATGTTTCTGAATTGGTAAAGTGCGTGCACGCACACACACACACACACACACACACACACACACACACACACACACAGACCTGTACAGCAGAGCCTCTGCTTTCCCCAATAAGGGAATGGAAGCCACTGAGTGCCTGAGGATGGGGTTGGACCAATTAGAGGTAGAAATACCCTCGACAGATTGCTCTCAGATCGGCCAAGCACATAGGTGCCAGGCTTTTTTCATTCACTTCTCAGCTTTCTTTTAGAAAGTCTCTGGTGTGTCAGTTTGAGGAGAAAAGCCCAGAGTCTTCCTAAAGCTTGAAAGTTGTTTCTATTGAACCTGGATAACAAGGAGCCATAATAACAGAGGATGCCTTTGCTTTTTCACTCCACGGTAATTTGAAGCTGCAGGGTTCTTCTTTTTAAGTTCTGCTAAGACAAATGGACAAAGCTGCCTGCAAACGCCATTAAACTGCATGAAGAAAACCAGAAAAGTTTCATAAATGACACAAAACTCTTATTCTGCTAGCGTCAGGCAAGTTCAGTCACAGACATCCATCAGACCATTAAAGTTTTCTAAAGAATGGTTTTCTCCCCAGCTGCAAGGTGAGAAAAGACCATGGTGGCGGTAAGAAAGGTGTTATCTCCTCCTCCCCCACATTACACATGCAAGTGGCAAAGCTGTTGTCATGGCAACCTCCTTTACTTCAGCTGTCCCTGGCAGGTTCTCACAGACGTGTTAAACCTCATGGGCAATTAAAATTGAGAGGATTGGCCCTATACCGCCTGTCTTTTCTTTTAAGTTTTAGTTCTCATAGGTCAAAAAATTGACAGTGGGAGTCAGAGAGTGAAAGATGACCTCAAACAAAGAGCAGTCATGACCACTACTCTCTTTATCCTGCTGTGTCATCAACATGACTTTGCGGTCTCAGAACTTTCAGGGAACTGGGAACTTTCTTTGCCAACAGTGTGCATAAATTTCATAGTAAAAGTAGCATTACAATGTGTTTAATGTGTATTGTCCTTTTCAACTTATGCCTAATAATGCCTAGCTCTCTTCTAAAAATCTCAAGCATTTATACAGGTTTTTTTTAAATTGTTTTATTGTTCTCTACTTTTCTTTTAACAGAACAGACCCCTGTACTGTAGGATAAACAGGAGTGTGCCAGTCCTGGACCGGTTTTTTGAACCAGGAAGATCCCAGGCCAGATTTTTGTCTGAGCAGGGAGTCTTTTGTGGTGTTGCTAAGTCTCCTGAACCAAGATCGGCGACATGGTTGGGGTGCCACAATCGAGACCCTGGTGTTTCTGTTCAGCAAGTGGAACATCCTACAGGGTGGTCTCAAGAGTATTTGGGATGCCTCGCTCAACTGTCCACGACATCGTCCATCGAGTCACGGAGGATGTGGTCGCAATCCTCCACCAGGTCATTCACCTCCCCAAAACCCCAGAGGAGATGGAGGTTGTGTCTCGTGGGTTTGCTGGGCTGGCTCGACACAGAGCTTTCATGAAAGCAGCAGGTACGATCGACGGCTGTCACATTCGGATCAAGGCTCCGAGCGGTCCTGATGGTCAGTGCTACAGAAACAGGAAACTGTTCCCATCTATCATCCTGCAGGCAATTTGTGACCATCAGGGCCGCTTTATCGACACCTATGTGGGCTGGCCTGGGTCGGTCCACGACTCCAGGGTCCTCCGGCACAGCCCACTGTACAGGCAGTCAGCCTTTCCTCCTCCAGGGCACTTCATCCTCGCGGATGGAGGGTACCCATGCCTCCAACATCCACTCCCCCTCATCACCCCCTACAAACGGGTGGTTCAAGGTGTGGGAGCCCAGCGCTTCAACAGCCATCATTCCAGGGCACGCTGCATCATCGAGCGTGCTTTTGGAATGATGAAGACCAGGTTCAGGACCATCTTCCTGAAAGCGCTGGAGGTCCACCACACCTTTGTACCTCATGTAAGTTAACACAAAGTGGAAAAAAACTTTGGGTGTAATCTTTGTTTGGGAATGAAATATAAATTAAATTTTTATCTCTATTACAGGTCATCACAGCATGCACCATCCTGCACAACATCTGCCTCAGTGCTGGTGACATTGTGGTGCAGGACGATGAACTGGAGGATGATGCTCCAGAAGATGAGGGGGAGGCTGGTTTGGAGGCAGTCAGTGGTGCCCTCTGGCGGGACCAACTTTCTGCTGAGGTGTCTGCTCTGGAGGAAGTACCACCAGATCACAATTACTGTTAACAGGCAAGTAATTTACGTAGGAATCTCTAGTTTAAAAATCATTTAGTCCTGTTATCTGCTAGAGTTACAAGTATTATACTCATGATCTCCTTTTTTGCATATATCTGAATGTTAGTGATGTGACAGCCGTCGACTGAGCCAGCCCAGCAAACCCTTTTGATGGACGATGCAGTGGACAGTGAGATGAGGCATCCAGAAGCACCCTCTGCAGACCACTCTGTCTGATGTTCCACTTGCCAACTAGAAACGTTCAGCCACGGATCTCGGTTCCTGCACTCCATCCACCTCGATGATCCATGTTTAGTAGATTTAGCAACACCACCAAAGACTCCCTGCTTTCCAAGTTTACTGTATATATTTTACTTTTATCTTTACTTTTATTCCTTACAGTGTTCCCTTACAATTTATTTACTATGTTGTTACTTGTTAAAAACTGAATAATAAAACTGTTAATGATCAAAAAAGAGTTATCAATTAATAGAAATTTTATTACATTTAAACAAATAACAAAAACATTCAAACACATATATAGAACCTGAACCAGAAGAAACTAAAAGAAAAAAACCCATTTCTCTGCCATCCTTTCCATCAATGCTAAAAATATGTCCATCCTTCTTTCTCTCCTCTCCTCTGCTTCCCTCTGTTGTCTCATGTCCTCCCTGATCAGGTCAAGGAGCTCATCAGCCCTTCTCCTTTTTCTCCCTGATGAGGAGTCCGGCTTCCTTCCACCACTCTCCCTGTCCTCTGTCTCACCCACTGCTGCACTTGGCCCTGGAGTGTCCTCGGGAATGGAAGCAATAAGGACAGGAGGCATAGTGGAAGGCCTCTGTCCCAACACCTCGTCCATGGGGACAAACCAGGGCCAGTTTTCAGCAGTGGGCTTTCCGCTGACTCCCTCTCCTGACCCTGGATACTTGCAGTCCTACAGACAAAGGGAATTAGAATTACAAGGCTTTAACAACAGAGAACACTGTAGGCATAATGAAATTACAGATGCTCCTTAAAAGTACTGGTTATGGATGAGAATAGAGAGGAATAGAAGAACAAAGTCAGATTATAAATCATAGTTCATAAAACATGCAATAAACAATATTTTAATTTATCAACATGGGAGATGAAAATTGTGTTCTGTGTTTTTTTTCCGCCTAAAATGAAATTAAAAACATTAAATCAGTAATGTGGTTTCTTAAAAATTTACTTAAATAAACATTAAACTTAGTTTTCGTTATTTTTGACGTTCGTTACATGATTACATAAGATGCAAGCTCTTTTACGGTGAGTTTTTTCCTATTAGACTTTCAAGCAAGTTTACGGTGGGGTGTTAACCTTAAAACAAATGATGAGAAGCTTTATTCGCTAAATAAACACACACACACAGGAATTATGACGGGACCACCATACAAGCTCGTTCTCGCTGATTTCTGCTTAAAATGTACTTATACAAATGACAAATGTCTATAAACAGAACCGCTTTCAGCTTAGTTTTCTACCGCTATTTTCTTTTAAAAAGCCTGCTGGGATCAAGCTAGTTTACGGTGGGTTTTTCCTATTAAACATTCAAGCTGGTTTTCGGTGGGGCATGTTTTAGCCTTAAATTACATGAAAAAAAAACAATTTGCGGTATTAGATCTTATATAAAAAACAAACCAAAAGTGCCCAAACACGTATTTTATTTTTTTGACTGCTATTTTTTAACTAACTTACATTTTAAGCTGTACTGCTGTCCCGCTCCGTCCGCCGTTGTTGCGAGTGTCGAGTCCAGCGGCCGGCGTGCAAAGCATGCTGGGATACCCTTGCTCCTGTGAGGATCCATCAGACCCATCCTCGAAATGTGGGTGGAGCGAGGACGCGTTTGAGGACGCGAGAATGAGGATTCTTGGAATTCGGACAGTACTCGTCGCTGAGCTTTGACGTCATCGACCTCAAAATGCGCTCTTACAAGCATCCTACCTCTGGATTCGGACACAGCCACAGACAGAGCCAAGAGAGATTTCTGAGGAAAGGGCAAGTCAGTCTCAGGAGACCGAGGCTAAAGTGAAAGTATCAGAGAATGAGTCAGAGCCCAGTGAGAAGGAGAGTGAAGCCATAGAGAGAACATTCTCAGACCTACTTGGACTTGCACACCCAAATGATCCTGCCCATGTCCTACTCTGCAACATAAAGTACACAGAGGCCTTTATTCAAATGTGTGATAAAATTGGACCCTGCAAACCAATACTGTCATCATATCCCAAAAATGAAGAAGGTCGATCCTTTCAAAACAAGTGGTATGAGAATAATTCATGGCTAGAGTATTCTCCAAGTACTGATGCTATGTTTTGTTTCAGCTGCCGTCTTTTTTTTTACATGAGGAAAAACACACAAGCCACAAAACCTGCTGGAAGACAGAAGTGTTTAATAGGTGGAGAAAGGCTTTTAAAAAAATCAAAGAGCACAGTGCGTCAGAGTCTCACATGTGTATGGTCAGATGGAACTCATTCAGGAAAAAGTCATTGGAGGAAGCATTTTAAGTGGCTGACCAAGTGTCACAAGCAGCAAAAGACAGAGAGAGAGAGAAACAGAGATATTTTGTCTCGTTTGATAACCGTTACTCTTTACCTAGCAAGACAGGGCCTGCCTTTCAGGGGGATGATGAGACTGCATCAAGTCAGAATCGAGGAAAATTCTTGGAGTTGGTTGAGTTGTTCAGCAAGTATGACAGTGTGATGAAAATACACCTTGATGCCATAAAAGAGCAACAAGGACCTGGAAAAAGACCTCTTGTCTCGCTCCTGTCAAACAGAAGTCAAAATGACATAATCAAAGCTTTGGCCACATCAGTAAAACGTGTCATCCAAACAGAACTGCAAGAGTGTGACATTTTTTCCATATTGTTGGATGAAACCACTGATGATTCTCACACTGAACAGGTTTCCTTTGTTGTCAGATATGTACACAACATGGAAATCAAAGAGCGCTTCCTTCAGGTGTGTAACGTGGAATCAACATGTGGGGATGCTCTTGAAAAGCTTGTGAGGGCTCTACTAGAAGAAAATAACCTGAAGATAGACAACATCCGAGGTCAAGGTTACGATGGGGCTGCAAACATGAGTGGGCAGTTTAAGGGGCTTCAGTCGAGAATCCAGAAACAGAATCCAAAGGCTTTATATGTGCACTGCCAGGCACATTGCCTTAATCTGGTGTTGGTAGAGAGTGCAAAGTCAAACATTTGTTTTGTGAGTTTTTTTTAACTTGGTTGAAAAACTTTACACTTTTGTGGCCAACTCATCAAAATGACACTCAGCATTTATTAAAATGCAGAAGAAGGTGTACCCTGATCAGCGTCCTTTGGAGCTGCAGAAGCTGTCGGACACTAGGTGGAGCTGCCGAGAAACTGCTCTTAAGACAATGAGGAAGGTCCTTCCAGCTTTAATGCAGTTTCTTGGGGAAATAACACAGCAAGATCCCCCAGACTCTTCAGCAGGTGATGCTATGATTCTACTCAAAAACATCAATTTTGAATTCCTCCTGTGTCTGGAGATCACCTGTCCAATCTTCCAAGTGACAGCAACAGCATCTGATGCACTGCAGCAAAAAGACATGGACTTGGCTTCAGCATACAACATTGTTGATGGAGTATTGAATAGGCTGTCCCACAGCAGAACGGAGGAAGAATTTGAGAAAATAAATCAACAGGCTACAGAGAAGGCAGCATCAGTGAGATTGGATCCTCCATCTGAGGTGCCTGGACAAGCTCGGAGGAGGAAAGTGCCAGCAAAGTTTAAGTTTACTGCAACAACAGCTACTGCTGAACATGTTTTCACAACCCCCCAAGAGTACTACCGTGCCAAAGTGTACTACACCTTTGTGGACACAATGACACAGGAGCTTCAGAGACGTTTTAAAGGATGAGATAATTCCACATGGGACATCTTGAATGCCTTCCATTACTTGACAGTCCCAGAGAACTGGCAAACAGCAAGAATCTCAACAGAGTCACTCCAAGCTGTGAAGAAACTCTGCCAGTTCTATGACATTGAGGAAGAAGACAAATTACTGACAGAACTTAAGGTCTTTCATGCTTCCTACTCATGCCGTCCACCAATAAATGTGACATCCATTCTTTCAGTGGTCAAAGAAAACAATGCACATTTGATCTTCCCCAACATAACTGAGCTGATGAAGACATACGGCACACTTCCGGTGTTCACAGCAACAGTGGAGCATTCCTTCTCAAAACTCAAACTGGTAAAACCCAAACTCCGCACCCTTTGCTCCGAGGAGCGGTTGTCGGAGCTTCTTTTATTGGCTGTTGAGAAAGATGTTACAGTCAACCACGGTGATGTTATTGACATTTTTCGGGACATGGCCAACAGAAAGTTACTGTTGTGATGTGTAAAATGACCTGATGACCATCTTGGTTCTTCCTGCTCTTTGATGAACACACCCACTGTTATTTTTGTTTCCAGATTATTAAACAGTTTGATTGTTGCCTGTTGGTTTATCTTTATTTGCATTTGTATTGTTGCTTTTAATATTTGAGAGAAAAAAGAAAGATAGAATCATGATGGAAGGAAGAAACCAATAGAGTTCTACAGTCTATTCTGGTAAGGGTCATACTATGATGTTGAAAACACACACACACACACACACACACACACACACACACACACACACACACACACACACACACACACACACACACACACACACACACACACACACACACACACACACACACACACACACACACACAACTCTTTCTGTTTATATTTCTGTCACATTCTTATCTCTGACACAAACTCCTCTATTATCCACTAATGTTTAGATTTCCATTTATTTACCACAGGTTTTGTCTCAGATATTTCTGTCTAACAGTTCTAAGAGATTTCACCAATTTTTGCATTTTTTTATTATCTTACATTAATTTTGTAATTGACTAACATTTCTCCTCTGCTCGTTTTACTACCTACAGTCTGAGATCAACACAGCCTTGCCCTCCAGCATCACCAGCAGCAGCAAGAGGAGCAACCCCGCAACAGCTACACTGTACCCCATCATCAGGTAAAATAGGACAGCAATAGATCAGGAGGTGGAGCAGGTTGTCCAGTAATTGGAAGGTTGCAGGTTTGATCCTGACTGTAATCAGAGATTGATGCTGTTGTGTCCTTGGGCAAGACAATTAACCTGCTTTGCCTGCTGGTGGTGGTCGGAGGGACTGGTGGCGCCTGTGCTCAGCAGCTTCACCTCTGTCAGTGCGCTCCAGAGCAGCTATGGCTACATCATAGCTCATCACCATCAGTGTGTTAATGTGTGTGTGTGAATTACTGATTGTGTTGTAATGTGCCTTGGGGGGTTGTAGAACCCTAAGAAGGCATTATACAAATACAGACCATTTACCAAACAAGTTACTTTTGCTTTACATTGTCCTTATGTGGTAAGGGTGTATATAATGATTCGCTTCCATTTTGAATTTCTAATAAATATGATTTGTTATTCAGCCGGGTATACTGTGGTTATGTCATGGTGTTAGAAAATATTATTCTGTGTGCCCCTTTTTAAATTTGAGCACCCGCCCCTTCAAAGGTCTCTGCACGG